ACAGGGGATAAGAGACGTGCGAGGCTCCCCGTCGCCCGTTCCCGAGGACGCCCGGCGGCGATCCGTGAACAGGGCGCGCGCCGAGGAGGCGAAGAAGAAGAAAGATGCCAAGGAGGCGAAGCGCATGAAGAAGCTCCTCGCGCACGAAAAGCTGGACGCCCGTCGCCGGCGTCAGAGTCTCGACGGTCTCCCGTTGGAGCCGTCTCCCTCGTCGTCGGTGTCGGATTCTTCGAGCGACGGCGGCGGGCGCGAGGTGGGGACGGCCTGCCTGGAACACCTCCCCGACATTAGGGAGCTGCTGCCTGGAGCGCCGGCAAGGAGCCTGACGCCCCTAGGAGGAGGTGTCCCGGGGCCGGTGGCGGCCCGTCCCGGGGCTGAGGCCGACACGCCCGAGGCGCGGGTGTCGGAGGAGCGTGCCGTCTGCCCGATGAGTTCGACGGTGGAGGTGGAGCGGGCGACGGTGGGGGCGACCCCATTGTCTCCGCGAAGGGTCGAGGAGATGCTGTGGTCCGACGGAGGCCACCGGCACCGGTGGATTACCAAGGCAAGCGCCGCTGCCACCACCACCGCCGCCACAGAGGAGGAGGTCAAGGTGTCGGCTACCACATCCCCGTTCATGAAGCGCCTTCCGTAGTACTTCTTGTTTGCCCTTGGTTGCATGCCGACCTTGGGAGTGTCTTTTCTTCCAAATGACGCTTACGGTGGAAGATCTCCTGGCGCCCGTAAGGCGCTTACAGGTGAACGTTAGCTCCTCCGCCCATCAGCATGCCTGGAGGCGCAGGCGGCGTCTTGCGACAGCGGCCAAGCGTCGGGCGGTTGCTTTGGAGGAGGCGGCTGCCCAGGAAAAGGGGGCCGAGGCGGCCGCGGAGCGAGTGGAGGAGGAGGAGCCCAAGCCTCGCGATGTTGTGGGTCTTGGGGCGAAGGAGGCTGGGGCGTCTGCTATTGCCGAGGCCATTGAGGGCGAGGCCGGAGCCCCCAAGACCTCCAACGTCAGGGCGGTGGACGCCGGGGCCATCGAGGTAGAGATGGCGGAGGCCAGAGCCCCCGGGTCCGTCGAGACCGAGGCGATAGAGATGGAGACGGAGCAAGTTTTGGCGCCACCCCTGGTTCAGGCAATCTCGTCTGATGATTCCTCCCATGGGAAGGAGGCAGCGGACGTCGAGGCGGCTAGTACCGTGGAGCAGCCAGTCCCAGATCCCGCCGAGGGGAGTTTGGCTCTTGTCCGGCTACGGCCCGAGCCTCGTGGGTGGAACTTCCCGCGTGTTTTCTGGCGGAACCGGGCTGACCCCGAGGGGGAGCCCGTGTTCGCCCTTGAAGATACCGCAGAGGGGGGCATTGGGGCACCCTCGAGCAGTACCGCCAACTGGCAGTGCGGTCGCTGCAGACAGCGATGACTATTATGGGTCAGGACTTGCCCGGTGTCACGCGGGTAAGTACTTTCCTCTCTCGTGCCGTGTTGTTTTCTCTCCGAGCCCCCTCGTAGTGTTTGACGTGCGTTTTTTGTTTTGCCTCCTTAGGAGCTCGAGACCCGATCCCTTGGGAAGTCGGTGTTCCTGCGAAATGAGAGGGATATCTGGGACCAGCCCGCGCCAAAGGGCTCGCTTGCCGATGCCTCAGGGCTATTGTCGGCATGAGTGCGGAAGGAGGACCTCCGCCTGCCAGCCAGCCGACATTCAGCGGAGTTGGCCACGCTAAGGAGCAAATCTCCGGTGGCCAAGATCAAGGAACCGGAGGAGGAGCGAGACTCTTCAAAGCTTCGGGCCCAAGAAGCGACGGCCGCTAAGGTCACACCTGGGCAAAAGCGGAGCAGAGAAAGCATCAAGACGAAAAGTCGCCTTGGCGGAGGTTACCAAGGCGACCGAGGCCTCTGGTCGAGGTCTCACCGGAAGAGCAAGGCCGAGGTAAGTTCCACTAACCATGTTCCTCGCCCATTTGCTCGTTCGCTGACTCTCGACTTCGTCGCCGATGTAGATCTCGAGAAAGAGGCCTCCCAGCGGCCGAGGTTTTCCGCCGCAGCAAGCAAGCGCTACCGGATGTCGAGGTCCGAGAGCACGGTAGCCGCGCAGCAGCCGGACCGCCTCGCGAGGCTCGATGTCGAGGAGG